GAAGAATAATAAGATAATATGAGAATTGGTTCAGTATGTTGTGGTTGTTAAAATTTTAGCTCCCAGGCTGTGGTGAGATGAGCACCAGCTGCCACAACACTTGTTATGAAGTCATCTTCACAGCACACTGAGAGCACCAGTTTTCAAGGTAGTTGTTCTTACACTTGAAATGCTTTCAGAGGCTGTTCTACAAATTGATGTTTTTCTATGTAGACATTTACAGTTTTTATGGGTTTTTTCCTCTTTATCTAAACAGGTAAAGATATTTAGATATAGAGCCTCTTTCAAATTCTGTATCTTTTGATAGTGGACAGTGCCAGTTAAAGATGTTTGAGCTATGTCTGAATTATTTCTCTTCAAATGAATTAAAAATGGTTGAACTTTCACATTACTTAAAACACTCCACCCTTGGTGACAGGAATTCTGGCTTTTGGTAGACTACCTGAGGAAGATGCAGCACAGCTGGCTAACATGGCAGGTAGCAGGCGCCAGATATTGTTAAGGAAAAGGGGAATCTGGCAGCCTGTAACCTCTGAGCGGCAGCAGTGAACAATGTTCGATGCCAGGAGCTGTTCGTCCTGCAAGGAGACCCGCCCAGCTACTTTGTCCTGTCGTAAAGAAACCCCAGCCGAAGGTGGTGTCGCAACCTGTCTGTGATTTCCTGAAATTTCCTCAACTTCTGGAACATACTGGTTTTGGGTGGGGGTGGTGGGGGGGGGAGTTTGCTTCTTTGTTGTGTTGTTCATTGTTGTGTGTTGTCATCCTTGTCCTCGTCTCCTCCCCAGCCCCTGCCAAAACTGGCGAAGAAAAAAGTGAACATGGTGGCCTGAGGAGCAATTATTAAGTGGTGGCAAAAGACTGGCTTTAAAGTATTGTACTTGCTTATTTGGTTATTAATGATGTCGAGTTATTTTGCTTATAAAACGAGCAAATCCACTTCAGTAGTTTGGATGATGGTACAGAGTAATTTTTAGAGTAGAACTAGACTCTGATGAGTTTTATTTTAAAACCTTGATAATCTCTATCTCAGGATTTAGTTGTAGAAAGCTTTAATTCTTGTCAGCATATTTCCATTAAATTAACTAAGTACATAATAAACTTCTACCTCTGACCTTTCCCTATTTTAGCTCTAGATAAAAGGACTGGATTACAGTCAAAAGGCATGTAATTTTTATACTACTAAATAAAGTAGTCAATAAAGGTTTTGTAATAGTAGATAAGCATATTTTTTGCATGACATAAACCCAGAATGATCTAAACTGTTGAAGCTATTTTTTAAGTAAGGTGATGATTTTTATTTCTTAGTCTTATTGATAATAATTATATTTCATCAAAAATCTTTAAGTATTCCTAGTTTATAATTTAAAATTTTCACTTAGTTTACTTAAAATATTTAAAGACTGAATATTGCCATTTGCCTTAGAAACCTGGGAATAGCACCAGATGCCTATTAGTCTCTGGTGTACTGTAGCTACCCCTTCAAGTGCTATCTTTCTGAATGAGAAAAGCAAACAGCTCCTGAACTGAACTGAACAAATGATGTTCTTCTGAGACAGGAGCATATTCTAATGGGAATTCTTTCCACTCTCCCTTGTAGGGACAGACTCTACATTTCTAATAGCCGCACCTAAAATTTTTTTTAAAAAATTCTCCTTTCTTAATTTTCTATTTTTTTCCTTTTTTTCCTTTTCTTTTTCTTCTCCTTTTTTCCCCCTGATAATTCCCAGGACTAAATTAAGTAGAAGAAACAGTGCCAAGGTTCTCCTAAACAAAGCCAGGCCATTCAGATAAACTGAGTGTTTCTTTGTCTTACAGAGACACCATGTTTGCTAAGTGTGTAGTGAAACATAATGATAGAATATATTTTTTCTTCTCCCTCTGGGTCTCATTAATATCTGCAATTAGTTTAAACGGAAGACTTTAGCAGGGCCATATTTAGAGAGATTTCTAATTTCTCAGTGGTTTGAGAATTCTTCTCCCTGTTTCCCCAAAACCTTAGTTATGCCAAATTAGTATCTCATAAAACAAGACTGTCTATCTTTAATAGTATTGCCCATCTTTGTTGTGTTTAAGCGTGTTTTCACTTGATGTGTTGTTTTGAAACCTTCTTATTGCTAAAGCCCTATGGAATGCAAGTAACAAAGACTGTCATGACTCTCCTGCATTGTTTTTGGATGTCATAATGTCTACCACTTGACTGTTTCCTTTGAGTAATTTAGGGACAGTGATGCCGCTGAAAGTCTTTGTGGATGTGGCACAATAAATTAACTGAGTCTTCTGTGGGAAACATGTCAAAAAAAAAAAAAAAGGGCAAAAAGGCTTCATCATCTTTCAAAACCAGCTCACACAGGTTTGTACAGCCTTCTGCAGGTTCTTGAAAGTCTATTCCGTAGGAATATGAACTTGTTCCTTCCTCTGTGCTGTCTGGAGGTCCACTTTGGTAGGAGCAGGAAGGAATTTGTGGGTGGATCTTGCTAGTTCCTGTATACATGGTTAGTGTAGAAAGTGTGGCACTGACAGTGCCTTGAGCAATCCAGGCACTTTCTGGCTCCTATAATGGTACCTCAAATTTAGGCATAGTTTTTCCTATTGAAATGCACACTTAGCTTGTCACCCCTAAAATAAGAACAGTTAAGCCAAAGGCAGAAAAATGCATAAAATAATCCAGAGAAGAAAATGACAAATCTTCAGGAAAAAAACCTACCAAGCACTAACTTCTAATTTTCTGGAAAGTGCTTTACTCCACTAAGCTTCAGTTCACCTCCTCAGTGCAGCAGAGCAGTGGTGACTGGTATTGCAAAATACAACACGACAACTTTGTTTAGCCTTATGCTTAGTGTTTCACTGCCAGAGGTGTGTCCTCTGGAATGCACACTTCTAATATGTTATGTACCTTGTGCCAGCTCTAGAGCTAGTCAGAGCTCTTGGCACTGAGCTTGGTCATGAGCCAAGTGAGAATCTATCCCCAAAGAGTTACATTTCTATGCTGAGTCAGTGCATAGAGTAGTCAAGGTAGTACCAAAACTGTCATTTGTGAGATGGTGGGGTTGAGCAAGGGATGAGGGGGCAAAGTGCGTTGAGAAAAAAGTGAGTGGAGCAGCTGCTAGGTAAGCTGAGCTGCCCCAAGTGTGATGGCCTTGGTGCTCAGGGCACACAAATGAGACCTGATGGGACTGGTCACAATGTCTTGTGCTTCTGAAGGGGCAGAAATCACTCTCCTCTGTGTCATAGGCAGTGTTTTGGCCCATAGCCATTAGCCTGTGAGGTACTCTAAGAGTTTTACCTTCATGTGGCTGTAGTGTGTGGAGACTCTGGATTCCTTCCAAACTAAAGCCCTCAACTAAAGATTGCTTTGCCAGAGAAGACTGAGTGTTTGAGAAGACTGCTGCTTGGTCAGGGTACTCTCATAGCTCTTTACTGAAGCAGAGCCTGTGATAGACTCCTTTCCAACCAGCTAAGTACTGGAAACACCAAGCTGTACGGTCTTCCTTTTAGTGTCACCTTGTGGGCCATTATTTACGTGGTGCAAAGTGGAACAGATTCAACTAGAGGGATGCAAGAGACCCTCTTCAAGCTGCATTTGAACAGTCAAAGCAGTACAATTTGTGCATTGAAATCGTACTGAGCATCTGCATTTGCCAAGGACATTCAATTCTGACTCCTGATTAAGACGCAAGACTTCTTTTTCTTCCGTTTGTGTTTGGTATGGAAACCCTATTTCACTACATGTCTTCAAGAACGTCTACTTGAATAGGTCCTGCAGATGAGGAAAATGGGTTGGAAAATGAGACTAGTGATCTTTGCCAGGCTGTGACAAAGTCCATTCTCAGCAGAGTTAGTGCTCAGGCTATGGATTTCTATCTGTGGCAAGAAGCTGCTGAGCCTGCCATGCAAGGCTGAGCATCTGCATCCCATCTGCATGGTCATGAATTTCTTCACCAAAGGAATTGATTTACAGTGTCTTAATATTTTGGAAAATGAAATAATCAGATTTTAAATCCTTTTAATGGGTGTAACTCAATTTGCATGTTGAAAATAAAGCATAGTTGTGTTTTTGCATGCTTGTAACTTGTCACGTGACAGAACTGCGGTAAGAGATTTCCTGTGGTTCCTGGAAGCTTCTTGTCCTGTTGTTGCTGTGCAGAAGGGCTATGCAAATTCCCTAGAGCCAAAGCAAAGCAGCTATTCTTCTCAGTGAGTGCCAGGTTTGTGCCTGCTGCATTGTGTGCAGTCCAGAACAGCAAACATCTATCACATTGAACTCCCAGGGCTCAGATGTGCCTTAAAGACATGGTTTAGCTTTTAACAGAGCTGATCTGCACACAGTGTTCTGACTGTCATTCCTAAAGAACAGAATGACAGATGGGCTTATGATACATTTGTCTGGAGGTAGAGAATGAGAAGAGCAAGTTGGTTACTAATTGCCTTCCCACCACTGAAAGGAGAAATGTCCCCATACTTGACACCATTTGGATGGGCATGTCAAAATTAATGAACATTTTCACCTTCAGTTGTCCCTGAGTGAGCTTCACACCATTGTGTCCCATGTAGCCTTGAGATCTTAATGCAGCCATTTGCATTCATCAGGGCAGCACAGACACAACGTGAGAGTTTGAGAGTTTTGAAATGCATCTCTGTCATCAAGATGCTTTGCAGCAGGAGTGCTGCTGATTAACAGCCATGGGTCATATCAGTGCATTGTACCTGTTGATCTTTTTCATTACACTTTTTTCTTTAAAGTCTGATTATCATCAGATATTAAAATACCTGATGACCAAATTTGTCTGATTATCAATAAAATAATTTTTCTTTCAGATCTGTTTTTTATTCAGATTACTGTTTCTAAATTGATGCGACTGCTCTTATGTAAAAAAAAAAAAAATCCCAATAATCTCTGAAGTAATACATAAAACCACAATTCTGTTTAATTATGGTTGGCTTTATTTGCTGTTTAAGTTTGGGATGAGTTTAGACACATGAGAAATCCCATCCAGCTGTGCAAAAAGACACACACATCTTAGGGCATAAAATATTCCTGGGGGTGAGCTAAGGTGTCAGGATTGTGTCCCTAATGGCTGTATGTACTAGAAAAATTATCTTGATTTTAAATTATATTTAAAATTGGTTACAGTTAAGTGCTGATAAGATCCTTTGTACAAATAGTCTTTAGGTTTACTACCCATTACATATTTCCTTTGATTATTTTTTAAATTCTGCTTTAATACTTACGTTCCTTGACAGGTCTATTATTCTAACAATCCAAGTAGTAGTGGACACATTAAATACTGGAAAATAAATTATCACTTAATCCTATACCTAAAAAGGATTGAGTTTGGAAATGTTTTCAGATTTGATCAATGAGATTTATCAACTCAGACTCCATAATTCTTCACTTTTACTTGTCATACTGAAAGATGATTATAGAGGTGGGATGGTGGGAAATGCTAAAAGCAGTGCATTTCTTGACTAGGCATGAAAATAGGAGGGCTCATTTTCAGGGCTGCATTTGAAAAATAAAATTGAAACAATGAAGCATAGCTGTCTAGCAATGGAAACAGAGGCTGACATTTTAAGGAGTAGCTGCTGCTAATATTTAGGTAAGTGGTCTGGGCCGTTTTCCTCTATCTGAAAGCTGATGCAAAACCAATTTAAGTAATGCAGTCAGTATACTGGGTATTCTATTTGTTTGATTTTTGACTCTGCCTTGATAGAGGTAAGGTGGCTGACCCTTAATGACAGCAATTTGTTTTCCATTACTACAACTATGGTGGGTCTTTATTGTCAATCTAATTAGAAGCAGGGGGTTAGGTCTTCATGTGGGACTTATTCAGAGTGTTTAATATGAAGGAAATAATTTCAGAGAGTTGATGAACACTTAAGAGCTGCTCAAAGGCTATCAAGAGTTTAAAAAACCTGTTGTTTTAATCTGAGCCTTTTTAGTCTTGAAAACAACCCCCTTCAAAACAGATTTCACCATCTACTTTTGTTACTTTAGACCCTTTTTATCTTTTTGCTGATTTGTTTTTCCACTTTCTCCTCCAGCTTCTTGGTTGCCTCCCAATATCCAAAGCACAAGTTGTCATTGCTGCGACAAGGGATGGGATGCACCTTCTCTGCAGCACTCAGATATTTTCTTCATGGCTCTCCGTGTGAAGTCGACCTTCCCTCTTTCTTTCTTGAGAGCTGTGTACTCATAGGCCTTCAGCTTGCTGTAATAGTCTGAGAATTTATTGTAGAGGATGGAGATGGGCATGCCATTCAGGATTATTCCAAAAGCAATGCAAAGGAAAGCAAACAGGCGTCCAAGGTGAGTTTCTGGACACATATCTCCATATCCCACTGTAGAGATGCTGACCTACAGGCAAACCAACATGTAGCTTATTAGCTGAGAAGAAATACATAGACAGATATGTTCACTGATCAGGGACAATGTTAAAGTTAGCTCTTTTGTACTTTTGTAAGTCTGAAATACTCTGGTACTTTTTTTTTCTTTTTGATGTGTACTAGCTATCTTATGCAAAATATGCCTAATTGAAAAACAAACAAACAGCCCTCTCATGAAGTAAAGAAAGGCAATAATTTGACACCATTCAGGAGGATTTTTTTATTTTTTCCCCGCAGAGGGAATTCCCAGATAATTTCCACACCAGCCTGTCCAGAAGGCAAGTTTGCTTGGGTGTAGGGAGAGGATAGATGTGTCTCCCTGACCATGCAAATCCATTGATAGCTGCAACCCGGCTCCCTCATCATGTCACTTGAAACAGATGTCCTGTTTCTAAATCCATTGTGCTGATAAAACCCTGTATTTGGGACTTATTCTGTGGGGGGTTTTTTTGAGTTTTAGCTTTGTTTGTCACATATATTTTAGGAACTAGTGAAAAACACATGAAAACCTTCAATTATGAAATAAATTTTCCTATTTATGTAATTGGAAGAAATGATCCAGGACTTCAAAGTTTCTAGATAAAATCCCCTTTAATGATTACATACCTACAAGGAACTGTAGCCTGGAAGTTTTTACTTGCAGTGTACGGTTGCAACATGTATAGTTTTAGTGTTAAATAAGGACACAGGTGGGTAATTTTTGCTGAATTTCCTTTTGAAGAAGGATTTAGGGATTGTTTAAAATGTTTCAGCTTTGGTTGTTGGATTTATTTTGGGTTTTTTTTTTGAGAGTGATGGTATTTAGTATATTTGTTTTATATGAATCTGAACACTTTGCCAGCTTATTATGTATATAACATCACACTTTTCTTCTCAGACAATATAATTCTATCTTTCTAGCCTATGGATATATGAGGAAACTATGTTATGGGTCCAGTGCTGTACCAAGTACTGAAATACATTAATTGTAAAATTCAAATCAAAAATTAATGGATGTTTGATTATGGAGATGCTACATTTGAAAGATGGGCTCTCAAATAGTCAACAAAAGATAACTCCTAATTTATATAGTTTCACTGCACACATTTTGATGTTTTATGATTTTTACACTTAGTAAATATAACTTTTTTTTCCCTGGCAGGTAAAACTTGCATGTTTCTGTCACCTCTCACTTTCTAGTCTGTGCAAGGGATCTTTTTCAGCCTGTGAATTTTATTTCATATTTTTCACAGTGTCTCAACACACTGTGGGGATCTGTTATAGAGTAACCTAAAACTCTGACCAAAATAAGCCACAGTCAGCAGGACTTTCACTGCAATGCCCTTGTGGCTTTAGCACTGAAATAAGTCTTCAGAAGGTCACTGTGTACAGTTTGCCATCCTCTAAAATGGTAAATAGAATGGTATTTTAAATGAAGAAAGCATTAGAGTACATGAGACAGCACTGGGTGAGTAGATTTTTAAGATGCACCTGGTGCTTCCTGTGGAATAAAAAAGATTAGTGATTTGGTTTAATGGAAATTAAGTCACTGGATTTGAATGATAATACAGGATAAATATCTCCAAAAATAAATACTGAGATAAAGGCAAGATGTTTATCTCTCCCAGCCAGGACAAAAATGTTATCCTGTGATAAGGTTTTGTACCACTGGCATAGTCTTATACATTGCCTGTAATAGTTTAGGAGGGATTCTTCTTCTCCTGCATGTGTGAGATAGTGAATGCTGTTGGATTTTTATAAAATTTGAATGATCTAGATATTTCAATTTACTGTCCTAAAGAATAAATAGACTTTAAAGAGTGTTTTGTGCTTTGGAATTGCGATGTGCATGATACAGCTCCTGTTTTGAAGACATTTTCTCAGCTAAACAGGCCTTTTCCACCTAGCCATATAAGTTTATTGGGAATATCTAAATGATTATGGTGTCACTAGTTTGCAAAAATGAGCCCTAAACGTTTTGCATATAACCTGCCTGCTCAGAAAACAAAATATTTTAGCAACATATGAAACACCAATGTTTTCATAGCCTTTGTGTATCACTTACAGATGATCTGTGAAGGTAAGATTACAGGACCCTTTCCTTTATTCCTTGATTTTTCCATCCTTCCACGGTCCAGCTTGGATATTCATCAGTTACACATATGCATGTGCAACATATAAATGTGTGCATCTATGCTTGTCTGTAAGCCTTTTTTTCTGCCATGTGCTGATTTTCTGCAAATGTGTGGTAAACCACCACACCTCACTGTCCATAGCTGAACCAGAAGTGCAGACCTTGGGCTTCAGGATGGGTGACCAGAAGTGATCTTGAATGTGTTGGGATTACTGCCTGGTGGGCCCCATATGCTTCTTGGTGCATCCAGTGTCTGTGCTGGTCAACCAGAATGAGATGTTCTAACTCCTATCCAGTCTATTTGCATGGGCTTCTTTCTCCAGGGGAGTGGCTGGGACAGAGCCAGACCCACAGCCATGCCCAGGGGTCAGCAGTACTCCTGGGGCCCACATAAAAACTGACAATGCAGCATCAATTGCTGCAAAACAAAATGTATGTGACAATAGTCTAGGACAAGCCTCAGGGTTATGGATGGCCAAGATGTGGGTCCTGTGCCTTCCCTCAGCATTGACAATGTCTAGCTGGTTTCATCTAGAATGCTATAAATACACACGTCTTCTGCAGCACAGCAGAACACAATCTCTTGTCTAAAACAGCTGTTGGTCCTAATGGATTCTCAACTGCCAGAGTTCTGGGACAGCTTTCACTTTTGAAGTTTGATCTGACTGACTGTAGTTAATAAACTATATTAATCATCTTGCAGTTTTATAATGGGTTGCAGAAGATCCACACATAGAGTAAGAACAAAAGCCCTGTAACTAGATAGCCTAATGCATGCGTTTTTTTCCCCCTATTGTTTTGGCAACACTGACAATGGCACTAAATTGGGAAAAGCTTTTTTTCCTATGTCTTTGCCCACTTCTTCTTTAAAAGTGAAAATACTCTCTGCATTTGGAGATATGGGAATTCCGAGACCGCCCACCTGATTAAGCCTTGATTTAAGCTTACAGAGAGGTGAATGAGTGCATGTGTGTGTGTGTGTGTGTGTGTGTGTGTGTGTGCGCATATGTCCTGTAAGCTCAGAATTCAGAGCAGATGTTCACTGATCTGAGCCTGTTGTTTTCAAGACTGTCAGCAACTCCAGCAAGGAAGGGGAGGGGAAGGAAGGGAGGGTCTCTGGCTACCCAGCAAGGTAAGATGTGTTTACTTACAGCAGCCCACCACCAAGCATGGGGAATGCTGGTGAAGTTGGTACTGGAGACATCATGCTCCACTGTGTAGACCATGGCAGAGAAGGCAAAGATCCCCATAGCAATGAAGAGCAAAAGGCAGCCCACCTGCTGGTAGCACTGGCGCAAGGTAAAGCCAAAGGCACGCAGGCCTGTGGAGTGGCGGGCCAGCTTGAGGATGCGGAAGATGCGCATGAGGCGCATGATGCGAAGCACTTGTCCTACCTTGCTCACCCGTCCCACCTTTTCGATATCATGCTCGTGTTGGGAGCCCCGACCCCGGGGCTGGTCATCATCAGTAAAGCATTCAAGCAGCAGCTGCAGATAGAGGGGCAGGATGGCAATGAGGTCTACCGCATTGAGGGCACTGCTGGCAAAGCGGCGCAGGTCTGGGGTAGAGACCAGGCGCAGCAGGTACTCCAGTGTGAAGAATGCAATGCACAAGGTCTCCACGTGCTCCAAGACAGGCCGGCTATCCCCACTCTTCCAGTCTACCTGCTGCATCTCCTCTACTGTGTTCAGTGCCAGGGCCACCACAGAGATGAGCACGAAGAAACTGGAGGCCACTGCCATCACTTTGGCAGTGACAGAGGAGAAGGGCTTCTCCATGAGGTTCCAGAGGCGCCAGCGCTGGGGACCGTAGTAGCGCATGTGGTGGAAGAGCTGCTCATTCTCCTCAGCCTCTGCCTGGGAACGCAGCTCCCGCTGGACCTTCAGCTGCTCACTCAGCTCGTCCCGGCGCTCCTCGAAGCAGATGCGGCAGCAGCGGGGTGTGTATTTGAGACGCACTCCCCAGTAGCTCAGCTCCTCCAGGAAGCTACGGGGGCACAGCTCGTCCCTCACCCGCAGCACCCCCGAGGCATAGAAATTGTACACCAGCTGGAAGACAGCTGGGTCCCGGTCAAAGAAATACTCATCAACCTGGGCAGCGTAGTCATCACACAGGCCCAGCTGGCAACGACGGTCAGTGGAGGTAGCCAGGCGGCCCAGGCGGGTCTTGGGATAGATGGCCACTGCCTGGTAGGTGAGGCGGTAGCTTTGGCCACCAACATTGATGTTCAGCATGGATGGAGTTGTTGCTGTGGCTGTGGCTCTAGAGGAAAGAGCAGGGGAACAAGGAATAAATGATGAGGCCCTGCTTTCTCCCTTAAATGCACCTTCATGTCGCCATTTTCCTTCTTCCTTGTCTTCATCTTCCTCATCTTCATCATCCACATAACAGTTGTAATTCCCCTCAGGTCCTGGTTGCAGCAGGGGCTGCGCATCCAAGGAAGTGGTGGCAGAGGAACCACTCTGCTTGTCTACATGACCGACTTCCTTTTCCTGCCACTTGCTGGGCTGCGGGAGGATGTTTGGTGCTTCCATCTCTCTGCCTTTATGTTTTAGGAAAGCAAACTCTTGCTGCCTCTTTAATGGCAACATAATATTATTCCTTACTCTTCTCCCCTCTTTGCATTCACCCAATCAAGCTGTTAACACCAGTCCTTTTCAGCACTGCAAAAGCTGACAACCTGGTTTTCTTCTCTCTTTATCTTGGAAGTATCATGCAGAGCAGTAATTCTGCATATTTCTCCCTGCCAGCCACCACTCCAGTTGTTGTGAAAGCTCTGTGTGGGATATAGACACATGAAGACTGCTGTTGACCGTTTTAATCTTGCTGACAGCAAAGATCTGAGTGCTTAGAGGAAGGGATTTAAGGGCTATTATCCTGTTCGAGCCTCGATTCCCTTAGGCTGTGACGTGAATGATTATGGATCCATAAATCTATGAAAATCAGTAGGGGGGAAAATCCCCTAAAGTTTTATTACTAATAAAACTCACACATTTTCCTATTTCAAGTATTTATGGATTAAAAATAATCTCAAATAAAAATTTATGAGGGGCAGAGAGAAAGAGAGCGTTACGGATTTCTTTCATATTCATGAGCATAGCATGGCTTGGTTTTCTTTAATGAAAATAATGAATAATTGATATGCAGATAAAGGGTAGGAACTCACTGGAGTAACTCTTAAAATATTTTCAAAAGGTGAGCAAATAAAAGTAATTTCATTTTATTCCCAGTTAGAATACCTCAATTTGGTTAAGAGCTGAGGAGTATTTCAGTCTGTGCCTGAAGCTTTGGATGTACTCTGGGATCTAATGTTCTGCAAAGGGCAGGGGTATGAAGGGGTTTCCAGCTTCAAATTCTTCATGAGCTGCTGAGAAACAGCATAAAGCCACTCTTGTTTCTTTTGCAAGAGTCTGGTCTGGAGGGCCTCCCATCTGCCATTCTGTTGCCTGCCTTCCACTTGCAGCTCCCTTTCATGTAGGCTGCTGGGACAGTGTATCCCAGAGCACTGCAGCAGTGTTTTCACTTTGCCGTCCTCAAGCTCCTGTTCTTCCTCATTGGTCTCATGTTCTTGAGCCTGCAGACCCCAGTACTGTTGTTTTGGTGGTGTCCTGTGTGAAGCAATTGCTGTTATGAGAATGTCTCCTTTTTTCCTATTTCCTTACCTCCAGTTGTAGCTTTTGTATTTATATTTACTAGTTCTCGACAGAATGGAGGATGTCATAGGTGAGCATTTTGCAATACTTTTGTTCTCAGTCTGTACTCTAGTGAGTGGATCACACTAAACTGTTCAAGGTTTATTTGAGTCACACTGTTTAAGGCCAAAATTATTTGTAATTAATATTTAACTCTGCTTGGAAGTGAATTTGTCTCCCCTGCCTGTTCTCTTTCTTGATGTAAAAGAGGCAAGGCCCCTATTAATAGGGATTGCCAGTACCTCTTTAGAGATACCAATCTGCTTTGCAGTTTGCTTTGAGCATTAAACCATACCATGGTGAGTCCTTTGTATAGCAACCTTAATGCAAATTCATGTCAAGTTTAAATGTTGTTTCTTTCTCCTAAGCAAATCAATTCAGACATAAGAAAAAGGGTAGTTCACAATGCCATCATTTTAGTACTGAAAACACTTAAATATTTCTTAATCAAGATCCAGGGTAGACTATAACCACATTCCTCATGCCAGTCTCTGCTGTAACATTTAGTTTTTCTTTTTGTCAGGCTCCCTGGCCTCGCTTCTAGTAAGTATCCAGTAAGGTTTACTGCTCACTAATCAACAGTTCATTTCTTATGCCATACTGCTACAGCAGGAGCTTCTACAGGGTGAACTTCATGACTGTCAGACACCAGCTCCTCATGCACATGGGCTTAGATTTTGGACATTACTAAGCAAAGCAAGGAAGATCACTAGCTTTGGTCTGCTCAGATTAATCTCTTTGACCTAAATATTCTTGGGAATAGAGCTCTGGGGCACATGCTGCACTCTGCTCTAACATGCCTCTAACTGACAAAATAGCTAATTGTTTCATATGTGTTCTTTATTTTCAGGTGGGAGTTGATTCTGAGGCACTAGATTCTCAGTCCAGATACATAAGAAAATGAAGTGACTAGAAAGGACCCACTTTTTTCCCTTATTTACCTTATTCAGTGTGCTGCTTTTCTTCATAAATGTCATTAGTATAAGAATTGCTCTTCTCCTTGTGTGGGGCAGAGCAGACTATGGGCTGCTTAAAGAACTATTTAGCAAAGTCTCTTGGGAATATTTTTTTAAGTTATATGAGTTATATGCATTTCCCTTTTCAAGAGCTCTCTTTTAAGAGTGCAGGAGAGGCCAAACATAATGTGTTGCAAGCCAAGCCAATGGGGCAGAAGGTTGGCTTGGCTGAGCAGTGAATTTAGGTGGAGAAGGAAAGCATATGAACACTGGAAGTAAGGTGACATGGGGTGATGACAGAGGTGCTGCCTGTCTCTGTGGAGAGAAAATTTGTGTGACCAAAACTCAGATAGAATTCAAGCTGTCCAGGACTTGTGAAGGAAAGCAAAAAGGGCTTTTTTGGTTTTTGTATGTTAACAGCAAAAAATGATTGGAGATAACATTGGTCTGTTGCTTGATGAGGTCCAAATAAAATTGCAGACACAGCAGAGAATGATGTCATCTTTGCCATCTGTCTTCAAGACCAGTGATGGTCTGGAATCCTAGGAGCCCACTGTTGGAAGACTGACACTTGGGGAATGACAGATTCCCAAGCAATCCTGAAATTGTTTGAGACTTGCTGTTTCAGTTGGGTGCACACAGGTGTATGGGTTCTTTCCATGGAAGAACTGGCTGATGTACTTGGCAGGACCTCTCTCCATTATATTTTATTTGTCTTGTGAATCTGGAGATATTCCAGTCAGCTGGAACCTGAAATTTTGCCTCTGGATAGAACTTTGTTTTGATTTATGCATTCTGTCATACACTGTACTGAAAACTCCTGGTTCTTGACTTAGACTTCACTGAAACCAGCTAGCAACAGGGGAAAAACCCTACTCATCCATGCACTTCCCTTGTAACAGGATCACACAGATTCAGAAAGGACTCAATGCAAGGCATGTATCTAGAATAGCCTTTTCCAAGTTCTGTCCCCTAACAAACATATCCATTGTAATAACTTTTTCCATTGTTCCTTGTTGTTTCCTTGGGTGTAAGGAGCCCCTCCCTCTGCCCCTCCTAAGCCTTTCGTATACCAGCACTACCAGTGATCGTAAATTAGCACAGCTTACCTGTCCCCTGAACGTTTACTTGCTGCTTTGCAGCTGAATCACCCTCATGTGAAGGTCTAATGCTATGCTACGTCCCAAATATGAAAGAACAGCCTGGCATCTGCCATATCCTCCACCCAGAGACGTATGCAGCTTCACATCACCATTGCCTTTAAGGAGGGGAAAAGGGGTGCCACCCTCCCTGAAGTGAATTTTCTCACCCCAGACTTTTAAATCCATAATCCATAGTGGGTTTTTTGAGGCTGTGCTGTTGTGAAATCTTTTTGCCTCATTCATATGCACGTCACACCTCTACCTCTCCCTGTGAGTATGGGACTGCGGCTGCATGTCCTCTGCTTTTCTGACATTTATTTATTGCTTCCTTCTCTGCCCCTGCTGTATCTGAGCTGTACTGCCTTGGTCCCACTTATCTGCCTGTTCTAAATCAGCATCTCTCCCTGTGAAACCAGTGGCACTAGCATTCCTCTGAGTTAGGTGTTTATATTCTTCATGAATACTTCTCTATCCACAGCATGCTTGAGGGCCCTTCTCTCAGCTTCGTTATGAGAGTTCAATATGCTCTATCATGATGATGTTCAAAGAATACAAAGTGTATGCTTTTAGCACACCAATTGAAATGCTGCAAAATTATTAGAGTTTCCTTACGCACAAGGAAGATTGGCGAAAAATAAACTAGCTGCTCCTTGAACATTTCAGAGGAAATGAGATAACTTTGTGCAGTGGAAGAAAATATTTCAGTCGTTACTGAGATGCTTAAATCAGAGCTATTTGTGATTTTAAATTCTGGAGGACGTTGTCCTAACACTACCAGATTTATAATAAAGCTCTCTATCTATAAAGCTACATATCAAAGAACAAATCAGTTCAGGGGCAAAATAAGCTTTTGCAAGCCTGGATTTTAGCCAGTTTTTGTGTATGGATGTTTGCATACACACATATTTTACACATATGTGTGCAAATCTGTCAGCAAGATTGCTATCGTTATCCTAACCATGTGCTGTTTGCCAACCACTTTAATGTAGGGAGCATTTTGGGAATATAATGAAAATATAGTTTAGTGATTTGAACAGGTTATTTTTGTTTTCCTGCTGTGGCCATACACTGCACTGCACTGGCTTGATTTACAGGCTAAACTTTTTAGAGAAGAAGAATTCAGTTCACAACTCTGCGCTTCTCTTGCTCAGTGCAATACCAAAACTTCTTTTCTTTGTTGCTCTCAGAAACTGTCATTGGAGAGTGAATATGATCGAGAAAAGATCTTTTGCTGATATTGTCTCTGAAGAAATAACGAATATACCTTTGAAAATATTCCTTTGATTTTGACTTCTGGTAAAAAACAAGTTCATTCCTTACCCTGCCCCCAAAGGCTGGCAAGAGAAAGAAATAGGTAGAGCTGCAAAACTACAGAAGGTTTTCAAATGTGACAGAGTAACAAGTGCCTGTTTAAGCTAATCACTACCTTTGTCAAACAATGCTTTAAAAATCGTCCTGAAAATTGGTTCTTTTAGAAAATACACTGTGCTCTGCAAATCCCTATTTTGTAATTATGAATGTTAATTTTGTTGTAATGACAGGTTAATTGCCAGATGCTTTCTGTCAAACTGGAGTTGCAGACCTCTGTACACAAGACGGTCTCAAGATTTGCTTGGAAGACAGTATTTAGAAAATATTCTGCAGAAACATGTCATTGATATTGTGAATAACCATTGCACAAATAAAGGATCTAGATAGCTTAAAAACCAGTATCAGCATAGACCAGTTTTGTCTCTAAGTAGCCTTGGAAAAGTAAAATATATTAATGAAAATCCACAGTAACGTTAATTTGATCATGGGTGACTTCAGGAAATCAGAAGGAAAAGTCAGGCAGAGGTGAACTTTTCCCTGATGCAAGGGCAAGAGAGTGGCATAAGTGGTGAGACACAACTGCTGGAGTTATATGGGCTTCACTGCAGCTCAAACTGGGCGTGCTGAAACTAATGCTCAGTGTAAGAGCATCCTTATTCACTCCTGTGAGG